AAAGCTCAGAATGCCAGGGGTAGTTAAATTGTGGGACTTCTTGTTGCAAGATAGTACAGACAGTAAAATTACATTTGAATTCAGAAAGTGACTGGGAAGACTGGTGGAAGAAAAACTCTTTGAGGGCTTGCATATGTTAAGATAAGAACTCTGACTTGGGAAAACTCTGCAGGAAGCTGAGAGAGTATTCTGAGGGGGAAAAAGTAATTTAAATGGGGGGAAAAAAAGATCAAGGAAACGTGTTTGGACWTATACTACCTAAGCATCAATTCTGCTTTTTCTTTGGGAGAATGTCTRGGCTTGTGTGTGTTGGGCTTGTGTGATAGCCTTGGCTACTGCTTAGCCAGGACTATGCTAATAAATATTTCACTAAGATGAATGTTGCAAACCAGCTTTACTGCTTATAGTAGCATGTTTACAATTTGGGTTAGGCAATGGCCATGTTGCTGACAGGATCTCCATTTGCACACCCTCTTCCAGGCCTGCCACCAAAGGCATCCAGGAGCAGGGGAAAACATGCTGTCTGCTGCTCAGCAATCCACAAAAGATTGTGTCCTTTATCTCCACATTTCCAGTTATATTGTGATACCTTGACACCAAGTTCACCATGAGGCAGCAGTGTGCCCTCATGGCCAAGAAGGCCAATGGGATCCTGGCTGCATCAGGAGSAGTGTTGSCAGYAGGTGGAGGGAGGGGATCCTGCCCCTCTGCTCAGCTCTGGTGAGGCCGCACCTGGAGTGTTGGGAGCAGTGCTGGGCTTCTCAGGACAAGAGGGATGTGGAGCTTCTAGAGCGGGTCCAGCAGAGAGCAACCAAGATGATTAAGGAACTGGAACATCTCTCGTATGAGGAGAGACTGAGTGAGTTGGGCCTGTTTTCTCTGGAGAAGGCTGAGAGGGGATCTTATCAACATATACAAAWACTTGAAGGGAGAATATAGGGAAGAAAGGGCCGGGCTCTTCTCGGTGGTGGCCAGTGGCAGGACAAGGGACARTGGGTACAAGYTGMAACMCAGGCAGTTCCATCTCCAKGTGAAGAGGAACTTCTTTSCTGTGAGGGTGCCAGAGCCCTGGCACAGGCTGCCCAGGGAGGCTGTGGAGTCTCCTTCTCTGGAGATCTTCCAGATGTGACCRGSTGCCCTGTGCTCTGCGTGTCCCTGCTGGAGCAGGGGGTTTCGACTAGTTGATCTCTAGAGGTCCCTTCCAACCTTAGTGATTCTGTGATCTTCCAGCCCAAGTGGCTGGTGGAACTAGTCTGAGCACTGGTGAGAGCAATCCTTAGTTCTGCCTGAGCAAGCTGAAGAAAAGAGGGCAAGCRCTAAACGTTCTTGTGTAGGAAATGCATGCATGTTTTGTGATTTTTTTTTTTCTTTTTTTTTCCCTTCACATGCTGTACACTTCTTTAGCGTTCAACCACTGTTGGTCGTTGTTATACCCTGTTATACAGCTGTGTGTAACTGCATTTTCAGGACTTTGATGGATCAAATRGTCTTCACCTTCATTTTATTTCCTTTTATTTCTCTGGGCTTTGTCATGTGCTCCTTATCGCAAAGAATTTGGTAACTAAATATTTGAACCCAACAGCTGCTTATAGAATCATAGACTAACTTAGGTTGGAAGAGATTCCAAAAGTGATCTACTCTAATGTCCTGATGAAGGCAGGTTTAAGCAGATTAGCTTGTTCAGGGACTTGTCCAGTTGCATATCAGAAACCTCCAGAGATGGAGAATCAACAGCTTCTTTGGGAAACCTGCAGCAGTATTTTAGCACCTTATGGTTTAGAAACACATGCACCATCCCCACCCAGACTCCTCCAACCTCTTACACCTTGTCAGAATTTCTTGTGTTCCAATTTGCTTTGACTGCTTCAAATTATTTTGGCCCTTCCTTGTCTGCTGTGTGCTCCAGCCCCATGACCATCTTTGTGGCCTCCTGCTAGACTTGTACCAGTGCATCCATGTCTGTCTTCTCTAGAGAAGCCTAGAGCAGTTCTCCAAATGTGCCAAGTGGAGGGGAAAGATGAYGTGTTTGGGCCTGCTGGACACTCACTGCCACAGCACAGGGGCACTTGGTCTTAGCTATGAGAGCMCATTGCTGACTGCGGGTCAACTTGCTGTCCTGCCAGAGCCCCAGGTCCTTCTCCTCGGAGCTGCTTCCCAGACTTACAGCAGCCTCTCTCCTGACATCTGCCTCGTTACCAACACCTATTAGCAGCGTGTGGACCCCAGCATCTCCGCGGAACTCAAGTCTTTGGGCCACTATTGAGTGTTGTGGGCCCTTTCCGTGAGCTTCTGCTCTGCCTGCTGTCGCCCTCGTGAGCATGGCTGCTGCCTTGTGCAGCCAGCATCTGTCCCAGAGCCACGCTGCCGGCTGCTGGCAYGTGCGAGGGAAGAACATGTTCCTTGATACCCTCCCTTTCTGCAGTCTCCATCCCTCACCAGTGTGTGACTCATTGACTTGCCTAGAGGCATGGTGCAGCTTTCAACACCAGCTGAGAAATTACATTAGTCATTCCAGGAGCTCACAGCTACTTTCTTCCCTGAATAGTCCCATGGAGCTCTTTTGGGAACACTTCCATTCATTGATAGACGTCCTCCCTCGTTTCCTCCTCTGAACATATATATCACTTCCAAGCAACGTGGCTTTAGTGGAAGCAGGCCAGCTTGTTTGGCAAAGCCCCGTTTCTTGCAGGGGGCTTTTCTCTTCTTCCCTGTCGCAGCACACGTGCCTTCTGGCAGCGACCGCTTGGATGCCGCAGGCTGAGGCCCTGGGGCAGCGTTTTGGAAGGTACTGGCAAGAGCTGGACCACCTCCTATATCAGCCTCTTSCACAGTTTGCCACCTTTCTTAGGACACTATTATTATTATCTTTACTCTTGGATAGTCCACRACCTCAAGAAAGATTTCTGTCTTGTTCATGGTTAAATAATGCAGTGTTAAGAGTACTGCCTCCCAGCCCTTAAGCCCTTTTCCTTGTTCTGCACCCTTATTCTAGCAGGGCCTCTTTCTCTCAGGACCATTTCCATACTGCCACAGAACTTATTGCATATGTATTGCTCCCATTTTATTGTCGAGCCAGACTTTGGTTCTGGGCATGTCTATGAATATATGTCTCTGTCCTGGAGTTGATTGTGAGTGGCTTGAAAGGAATTTGATTTTAGAGGGTAATTTCAGGTGGGTCTGTGCTTGATTGGAGAGTGCTGTAGTTTCTCAGCCTCTAGACACTTGAGTGTGGCTTATATATCCATGTTGTGCAGGAGAACTTCCATGTGTGCCTGCAGAGTAGTCTTTGGATTTGTCTCTGGTCACCACTTAYATAGGGACAACACCATTACTGTGTTGGATATCAACAAAGTGCATAATGTGAAACCTTCCTAGTTCTCCAAGGAAGCAGTCTCCATTTGGAGCTGCATCTGAGCTGTTTGAGAATGTGGATGTGATTTAAAAGCAAAGTCTCAGTTTAAAAAATAGTTGACATGAGATTATAGGACTAAGATTTCAATATTTTTTTTCCATTGAAAAGTGAATAAATGCATGATGTTGTGCTATAGAAAGTATTTGAATTGTATTTTACAGACAAATAATATAAAAAGACTTCTCGCGTTAAGAGTTTTATAAACATAATTGAAACAAATGCATTTCACAAAACAAACAAAACRACATTAATAGAGTAAAATGAGGTTGTAATAGTCTGTTGTTAATAAAACATCCATTTTATTTTTACATTTTCTAGACATTTATGGGTGGTTCATTCGTGGTTTTATCAAGTTGTCATTTGTTTATTTTTACAGAAGCAATGATTTTAAATAATGTTTTAAAATAGTTTATTTAAAAGGCTGATAAGAACAGAATTGTTATAATTAAAAATTGAGGGAATTAAGTGGAACTTCTGTTTAAAAAACCTTTTGTTCTATTTTTCTGTAGCTACATGTTGTCTTTTGAAACTGGAAACTYAGTTGAGAGTTGAGTGGAAGAGTGGGTTTTTGTTTTGTTTTAAGTTTTTAAGAGAAAAAAATAGTAGTTGTTAATATAAGAGCTCTTGGGCTGCTGCTGCTGTTTGCCTATGACCCTTCCAACTTTGCAGTAGGGAACCGCGTGTGAGGAAGGGGAGAACTGCAATGAGGACAACCAGAGCTGTGTTTTTAGGTGACCTTCCGTACAGCCTCGACGCCGGGGGGAAAAAAAGGCACAATAAATAGCAACCATCCTGTTAAGATCTGGCATGGCTCTTACCAGGAGTTTCCTTTTCTGTTCTAGTCTCACAGTGCAATTAGCGCGTCACGTCGGCAAGTGAAGCCGTATTAATAAAACAGAAGACAAAAGACATGGGGGCCAGGAATAAAGTAGGGAAGGAAACGGAGACATTAAGGAAGGGCATAACAACAGGAACCCAAGCCTCGCATCCTGCATGTATGTTAGTATTGAGCCGACTGCAGTAGGAGCTGTCGCTTCATCTGGTCTTGCCTCTGGCTTGGTACCCAAGTAGATAGCGGRGATGTTGTGAGAAGGTGTGATGGGCAGGCTTGCCCCTTCCTGGCTCATCCTGCTCTTATCATTTGCTGATCTCAGATAATCAGTGCTCAAAAAGAGGTGGCCATCTCGTCACCCTAGGATTAATCTGTTCAACTTTTTTTGTTTGTGTGATTTCTTGGTGGTGGCCAGTGGCAAGATAAGGGGTAACGGGTACTGACTGAAACACAGGAAGTCCAGTCTCCATGTGAGGAAGAACTTCTTTCCTGTGAGGGTGCCAGAGCCCTGGCACAGGCTGCCCAGGGAGGCTGTGGAGTCTCCTTCTCTGGAGATCTTCCCAAGCCGCCTGGATGCCGCCCTGTGYCCCGTGCTCTGGGTGTYCCTGCTGGAGCAGGGGSCTGGACTGGATGATCTCTAGAGGCCCCTTCCAGCCTCAGCCATTCTGGGATTCAGCTCTGACGATTTATTCCTCTTTCCAAAACCTTTGTCTTGTGCCCGTCTCTGACTTGCAAGGACATTCTGTATAATCCTCTCTCACTGTTCTTTCTACCGAAATGGTGCAGCTTTCATATTGAGCGTTTTTGCTTCAACTTACTTGGTATAAATAATTTATATACAACTTGGAGTAGAGGCTCTTTACAATACACACTGGAAAAAGAAGTCCTCTTTTGCAAAAAGGAATGAAGAGAAAATGCACCTTGCAAAGATGAGTGGCTTAACATATGGGAGATACTCCGTGTACAAGAGAAACACACAGTTCATTAGCTTTTCATCTGTTATATTTGACCACATGGTGTGTGTTAATTTTCCAGCAAGACATTCATGCTCCAAATACTATAAAAAGATAGTTTCACCTTTGAACCTCCAAAGGACTGTACACTACACACTTGCCATAGTCAAATTGTGCACCAAAATTGTCCCTCTTTATTTCAGAGTTTGGTTACTTGGCCTGTGTGTTAACCAGGCAAACCCATTGCTGTAGTTGTCAGCTGCTTTAACTGGAGTTTGAGGGAGGTCTTGCCCTTTCCAAATGTGCTGGTTTTAGTCTGGGTAAATTGTAAGCCCTTCCTAGTTTCTTCCTTTGTTGGACATCCGTTAGAACGTGAGTCAGGTCTTTGACTTAGTAACACCCACTCCCGTGTCTGTTCATATGGCATTTGAGCATTCACAGTGGCACAGATTTGGAAAAAATGACGAAATCAGTCAAAATGAGACAGCTAGGAAAAATCCAATGTTGAGTTTTCCTCTTGTCGTGTGATGCTGCTTTTTCAGTCCAACATCATTCCATGGTTTCCTGGCACTCTGAGAAACAGAGTCCTCCCGACGTTGCCATACAGGGARCGCAAAGAGTCTGTACTGTGGCCCCGGGGTTTCTAAGCTTGCTTCACTGCAGTGCACCCTACAGGCTGGGCTTCTCAGGTAGCTTCCCATTGGAAGATTTGGCAAGTACCATCATCTGCGTTTCTCCCACGTCACGAGAGCTTTCTTCGTGATGGGACCTGGCAGCGCTAGAAATGGATACGCTCACTTGTCGCCGCAGTATTTTCATTACAGTTCTCTTGTATCCTTTGCAGGCGAAGAAATAGATAAAAGGATCTAGGCAGCAGTTAAAATTCATCAGAAACACGGTGTAATGGAGTGACTTCTGGAAAATTTGCTTTTCGCTGCAGAAGGGTTCGTTCTGAAGCTTTTTGATCATGTGTTGGATGATTGCGACGTGATAAGGGGTAAAGCAGATGATGAACACTATAATCACAAATATAATTGTATTGATGGCTTTTTTGTTTATCCCTGATTTTTCAGTCAGTGGATTTTCCTTGGCAGTCTGAAAAAGTTTGCAGCTAATTTGAGAGTAACAAAAGAGAATAATCCCAAGGGGAATAAGGTACCCTATTAAACATGCGGCAAGAAGTATAAAAGGTAAATGTGAGATTTTTTCAAAGTTGGGGTACTCCATACATGTAGTCCTTTCCTCTTCTTTGTGCGACATGGGTTGTATAAGCAACGGAAAAGTTTGGCTGAATACAAGAAACCAGATGAATACACAAATRCCCTTGGCGTATTTAATCCTTCGGATCTTGTATCGGAAAGGGTGGACAACAGCAAAAAACCTGTCGATGCTCAGGCACGTCATGAAGTTGACGCCCGCGTAGGTGTTGATATAAAAGAAGAGAGCGGTTACTCGGCACAGCGCTTCGCCAAAGGGCCAGTGGAAACCCAGGGCGTAGTAGGTTATCCTCGTGGGCAGGGCCATGCAAAACAAGAGGTCGGAGAAGACCAGGTTTGTCGAATAGAGGGTGGTGGAGTTGATCTTCTTCCTGTTTTTGAAGATGACCGTGAGGGCGATGGCATTTCCCAGCACTCCGAAGATTAAGATGAAGCTGTAGAACACGGACAGCAGTATCCTGGCTGTGTCTTTGTGTGCGTACAAGTCGCAGGTAGAGCTGTTGGGCTGCGAGGTTGGGAGGGTGTCCATCCCCACGGCCAGCGTTACTGCAGGGAATTCAGAAGACCTACCGGGAGGAAACAAAAGGGGACGTTTTGTCATGGTAGCCACGCTTCTGCCTATCAACAGCCTACTCRTACTGCACAAAGCCTTCGGAAAAGCTGAAATGAAACTTCTTTATGATGAAATAATTTTTCAGGCCTCCTTCGAAACCCCCCCAAACTCTGGCTGTTCTATTTTGATCCCAATCCCCTCTTTCCTGGAAAAGAGAAAAAAATTCAAGCAACAGGCAAAATCACATATGCTAGTGCTGCAGTATATGTTGAAAACTGAGGTTCAAAAGTGGTCAATTTAAAGCAGTCTGAGTGGAAAGGGCAGTATGAAGAAACCTCATAACAAACGATAATATGAAACTCTCAAGGGCAGAAAAGCAGTTAAAATCTTGCAAATTTATTTCAAATTTAAAGTGTTTTTCTTTATAAGGATTCAATCTGTGGTGCTTTAGTGAACTTAGAGAAACTCCACTTTTTGTTTTACACCATACTTGCTTAGCTTGTTGGTGTTAAGATAATTCAGACTTGTTTAATTCTATTTTAACTATTAGCTTTTGCAATCTAATTCACATGTTATTTATATGTATAGCAAACTGCTGATGTAACCACTTTTTAGTGGTGCTTCAAAATTTCTATAACTCAGCTAAAATCTTTTGTACGTATAGTCAAATGGTAACTTATTAGCTTTTTTAAATTTTTTTTTAGTCTACGTACTCAGAAATGACATGGAAGATCCACAGAGTGCTGTAGATGCAATGGCTTGGGGAACTTAAGCGTATCAGAAATGATCTAGCATGGTAGAAATTGAAAAGCTCCCAGACTGTCATTGATATTGCTTCCAATAGAGAATATTTCTCTAGAGTATTTCTTAGGTTTGTTGTGTATCAGGTGCTTAGTGTATTTGTAAATGGCAGAAACAGCAGGGCTTCTCAGAGGTACCATTTGAAGAATTTAGCTAAGAAATTACAGAACGAGTTTCCTGTTGCTGTGGTTAGTCCCATCCTTAAAATGTGTTGCTTTGGTAGTATTCCTTCTTGGCTGTTGCTCACTGAAACTGTCACTTTGGTAGCAAGGGACTTTTTAAGAAAAAGCCTCATTTTCCCTCTTTTTGCTGGTAAGATTGGCTGTGTCTTCCAGTTGTTGCTGGTGCGACCGAGTGTAAAAAGACCCCCCCAGCCTCCAGAAAACCTGTAGATCTGCCAAGATAGGAATACCCCCCATAGCGAACCAGGCATGTCGTAGTCACGCGCACACTGTGTATTTGCACCTGCTCTGGTGTAGAAAGCTGGTTGCTAGAAGCACATTCTTGTGAAATACTCTCTCAACAACATTGCTGGCAGCACCGTCTCTTCACAAATATACRTTACGCTGCTTATATAATTATAAAAAAAAWAGAAAAAAAAAAGAACCCAAGAAACGGTTCTTATGTGTAGTCTGGGATGCTCTTAAAAGTCACTGTGACATGTTCTTTCAAAAGTCTTCAGCCTGCTTGTGTTAGGACTGTAATGTAGAGAGGTGAGTACATCTCTTGAGAGAGGGAAGGATATTCCTGCTGGATTTGACACCAGACTTGTTTGCTGTTTGGATGACTCATAAAAACTGTCAGCCTGTGCGTCTGCACTTAAATGGATTAAAAGAGCAATCAGGACAAGACTATTTCTACTTCAGTATAGAACACGATATGGAGGCAAAAGCTGTAGTARCTTAAATTTAAGTCCATCCTTTGATTAAAATGTCTAGGTTATTGCTGAGAATCTGCTCTCTAGTACACACTGTTTGAAAATAACTTTAATCTTTCGTACCTTAAAGTCTTTCTGGAAAAATTAGTTTTAAGGGTTGTAAGCTACACATTTTATAATGTATGTACTGCTCTTTTTTTAACCTGCAGAAACATTAAAAGACTGCATGGTTCTTCCACATTGTGGTGAGATTGCCCTATATATTTCAGGCTAATCTTTTTATATTAATTGTTCACGATGAGTCTCCCCACAACACATAGCATATTGTAATGCAGTCTGAGCAGACTTCTGGCTAAGTTAGCAGGAAGCAGGACTGTRTAAACACTAAAAGTAAAAGTGCTGACAAAAGGCACCTCCGATTCCCCCTCGCAGCGTAAGCCGCAAATCCCCCATTCGGGGTTGGAAGGTCAAAGCTGAGGTGGAATTTTGTGGCCTTGGGTTGGGGGGTGACCCCAGCAAATACCGGCTGCCTGGTTGCTGTGAGGAGTGCAGGATGCCAGGGCTGTGGTGTCAGTAACGTGCCCATCACCGCGGCATCTCGGTGTCCGCGTGTTTGGTGATGGAAGAGCGCGTTAATCATTGCCCAGAGGAGAGCTCTGGGGCRCCTTCCCCCTGCTTCATCGCCTCCTTCCTTAGAGCAGCACGTGGGATGGCTCTTGTTTCACATGAGTCGTAAAGGCTGCTTTGCACAGAAACCTGTGTGGGTTTGTATCCGTATCGGCTAAGAGGCAGTGAGGCATTTTGGGGTGTTCTTCCCCTCACGTAGGCGCTCCTCATTTCTTGTGCTGATTCCCAACATGACGTCCGTCTTCTACCCACCTCTTTCTTGAAATTAAACAAAATCCTTTCTGAGAYATACGTAAATAACAATGATCTGGGACCCAATATGGACAGTTTCTTTGTGGTAAAGAGCTGCAGTGTATTAAGTGTGTAATTTTACTTTGTCATCGCTGCAAAATTATATTTGGATATTTGAAGAATTGGATAATTGACACATTCAATTTCTCTATAAATGTTTATAAAATTTAGGATATCCACTACACAAACACATTGAATAAGTTTTAGGAGAAATTCCCTAATTTTAGTGAAAAAGGATGTTTGACATCACCTGCAGAATTTCATAGGACCTACATGTAGTATACAAGGATACATGCTATATGTGCTATGTTATATTTGTGTCTTATATGTAAGTATACGATATTTTGTGTAGGATCTTTACTATCATGTGATAAACCCATCTAGACCTGGTTATTGTTGCAAATAGGATGTGGGCCCTGGGCTGGTGTGGCAACATGACTATGTGGGAAGGAGTCATGGCTGGAGAGAGCCCGTGTCCATCCAGGCYGTTAACATGGATGCACATTAGGGAGCAGGCAATGCAAAAAACCTCAGGCTTCCTAAAAAGCCATCCCTGCWTCCTAACAAAATTCTCTTCTCTAGAAAAGATCCACAGCAGGACACAGTGTCTGTAGAGAGGGCGGAGGAAAGCGGGAAGGCCGCAGTACGTGGGCCTGCCGGCCTGGCACGCACCTCTGCTGAGCTGCACCCCGGCCAAGGGGGCGGGAGGGGGCCTGGGCAGGCCCTCTGGCTTGCTATGGGGGTCATAATTATTAAAAATAAACATGGAATTAATTTACCTTGCCAATTTAACAATTTTAGGTAAATTTGCTCCAACTTTTTTTAATCCAGAGGCACATACAGGATTTTAAGCCATCAATTATTTAAAGGCCATATCGGTGTATCAGTACTGCAAAGAAAGTTGTTATTCAGATTGTTATTTTTTTGCCGAACTGGAAAACAAATAGTACCTGATGACGCTGATGTCCTTATTTTTAGTGCAAAGGTGAGAGCTGCRGTGTGCGGAGCTGCCACCTCGGGCTGGCCTCGGGGTCCCTCATGTCCCYTCTGCCCTGGGCTGCTGCTGTGGCCGCCCAGGACACAGCCTCTGCTCTCGGCTCCTGCCTAGGAGGGGCTGCTCCTGGCAGAGCTCAAGCTTAACTTCATCTGAGTAGGCCCAGGCTTCTAAGCAGTGCGGTTGGTATCTTTTTCTGTCACTCGCTGTTTTCAGGTTTTATCACTGATGATGTATTTGTTCTCTGATTAGGGATGGAAAAAATTGATGAAGTCCTTGGGTGATGGGTTATTCTTCAGTCATTTTGAGATCTCTTAGCTCATCGGCTTTCAATCTAGCCCGTGGGCTTTCTTCACAGTTTGGAGCAATAGCATCTACTCAGAAAAAAAATGACTGTACTGTGCAAGCCTAGCATGCCTTAAATTAGTGCATGGTGCCCTTATGCCAGTCCTGTGGTCACATCAGAGAAGGAAATACAGTTGTTTCAGAAGCCTGGTTTTCTGCGAAAACGTTTGACTGGAAATATCTGGGTGACACTTGCAGCGCTGCACGCATGAGCCCAGCTCAGAGCAGAGTCCCTGATGCAAACATGTGTGAGGAGCAGAACCAGCCCCGCTCCGGCAGCATGTAAGCCAAAGCCCGACTTCCTACATATGCTCATGCCCAAGTTTTAGATGCAGGATAGTAATRCTACAGATATTTAACCCTTAATGTGCACAAACTTAAGCCATGGGCTGCCAATAGTAGTGTTGTGGCCTTGGGGGTTGTGTGCCAGTGGTGATACAGAGCTCTCCCTGGGCTCCTGCTTTTGCCAAAGGAGCACCACCCGTCCTTGCGCGGGGATGTGGACGGTGTGAAGGGCTCTAACTGAGTGTTGTCACCCGAGGTGTGATCTGTGCCCCTCGCTCTCTGCCTAACTTCTGTTCTCTGGAGGTGACCTCCTGCTGCCTCGGCCTGGTAGCTAATAGAGGAGGGCATCAGTTAAGTTCCTGCGGAGGCACCACAGAGGAGGACTAAGGAGATCTCAGCTCCTACCCCTAGGATGGCTTAGTTGCTGTAAATTCAGGTGAACAGTATTTCTCTGAGAATTATTGAAAAAGAATGGGTTTCATGTATGCACTAACAGTGAAAGGAATGGTCAGGAGCGAGAATTAAGCAGAGATGAGGCATGAAGAGGAAGAAGGGCATGTCCTTGCTGGCGGTATTCTAGTGATCTGTGTTGTGCAACTGTCTGTGGAAATCAGCGTTGCACTTTTCCCCTTTGCACTATCTCTGAGTATCGAAGCAGCAGCCTGGGGTGGAGCAGTGCTGCTGACCTGTCCTGCAGCACTGAAAACCTGGCGTGCTCCGAAATACGGGCTGTGTGACAAGCCTCTCCTTCCCTGCGGTGCCTGGCCGAGCACTTCTTGCTGAGCTGGCCCTCCTCTACAGGCCTGAGCTTTGTCGATCTCACAGGCCTGCTGGAGCAGGGGGGTTGGACTAGATGATCTCTAGAGGTCCCTTCCAATATCAACCGTTCTGTGATTCCGAGGCTGTGGCAGCTGGGGAGTATGTTCAGGGGCTGCAGGTTTAACTTATTTTCCTGAACGTCRAAAATCGCTGCTTCCCGTCAAGCCCTGCTTTTCCGCGGCTGAATTCCCGATCTACTGTGCGAGTAATTCTTGTTGCGCAGCAGCAGTTTGCTGTGTTGGAGAGAAGGGCTTCACCTGAGCTCGGCGGGTGAAGGAGCGTGCCTGCCAACGGAGCGCTTGGCTGCTCCAGGAAGGCGCCTCCCGCCCGGTGTGCGATGGCCTGGGAGCTGCACGTGCTGCGGTGAAGGCTGAGGCAAGAGGCAGGCGTGTCCTGCAGCTTCCTGTTGCCTGCTCGTGCCCTGGCACTCTCGCGTGTTATTTTTATGCATTAATTTACCATTCCCTAAGGCTATAAAGCTTTGTGTGCTAAATTCTAAAGAGCCTCAATCCTCACGTTGCTCTTATTAGTTCCCATAATTAAAATTAATGAGATGGTTGGCAGGCAGGTGTTTTTATTCTTTCTCGTTATGGACCTACCTGTTTCAGAATGGTAAAGCAAAATTTTTAAGACACTTCAGAGAATCCAAATTATATAGACTAAATGGAATGCAAGTTTCTTAGCAAGCTTTACAAAGAACTGCGATATTCTTCAAGTGCTAAACAGACTTGCAGATGTGCAYGGTGGGGTTTGTGTGAGATCTTTATGGTCCTGATTTTTTAGGGGGAAGGGATAGGAAGGGATTTGGAACTATTTTACAAAGTTGCGTGCAGATTCTGTTTTTCAGTAGAAAATAAGAGAAGTTGCTGTAAATTGAGTGTAATAGAAATAAAGAAGTTGAGTTGAAATGCCGCCTAACTAGTTAAAAGAAAAGTGGAAGTTGTTTGAAGGGTACTTATCTAGTGCTTATCCGTTGGATCTCTCTTTCAAAACATTATCTGTGCTGTGTAAAAATGTGAGAATTTTTTGAGATAAATCAYGTCTGCCAAAGCAAGTTGATGTGAGGAGCGGCAATGATGCCAAGAGAGGTAACCTCCTTTCACTTTACTTACTTAAGGCTACTAAATTCTAAAATAGATCCTTTTTAGAATCAACTAGATCTTAAAATACAGAGAAAACATATGAGAAAAGCCTGARGCGGTGACATTACACTCCTGAAGCAGGAGAGAAAATCAGTCGGGTAAGAATTTGTATCTTAGTACTAGAATAAGACCTATATCTGGTGTAATAACACCTTTTGTCTGGTCTTTTTTTTCCTGAGTAAAGCAGGACCTGTACGGGTAAAATCTTTAGTTAATTTTATGAATTAAAACTTTATAATTTTAGTTCAAACTTATTATTTATTACATGTATGCATACACCTCAATCTTTTGAAAAGCAAGGGATTACATTTGAGCTGTTCAAGACTAATTGTCAGATAAGTTTTCAATCCCCTTGCCTCTGTTCAGGAGGAGCCATGAAGTGCTAAGTGGAGCTCTCTGCTGCCCTGAGCTCTAAGGTGCGCCCGTTTTGAGACAGATCAGACTTAGGATGTGTTAGTCTGTTGAACAGGGTGTGCTGCCTTGCCTGTGAAGTGGGAAAAGYGCATCCTGTTTAACTGGAAAGATGTATAGCTTGATAGCACGTGTAATAGTTCCTCAGCTTCATGGCACGAAGGTAAGTATTAGGGACAAAGATGTTTAGTGAGTGAGGTTCAGAAAAAGCATTTCTAAAAATCTGGAAGGARATGTGCATAAGAAGGGAAGAGAGGATTTGGCTTTAAAACTCAGCTGCTTAAAATACTCTGCCCCGGGAGAGCGTGTGCGGCGCTCCAGGGCAGGGGATACAGGCTGGAGGGCAGATACTAGATCAACCTGTGCATTCGCCCCAACAGTGCAGAGTCTTCTTAAGGCACTCTCCTACAACTAAAGCCTTCTGGCAGCTTCTGTGAATAAACAGCAGTGTTTCACCTTCTGCTCCAGCATTAGGTATTTCTGCATTAGCTTAGTTGAAGTTACTAACAAAAATTGGCTAAGCTAATGTAGTGTCAAATGTTTCCCTCTGTCAAAAGCCTCTGTGTTAAGGAAGCATTTGAAATCATTTGCCACTGCTTCCAGAGGTCACCTGCCCCTTTAAAGAGAAATTAAATAGCAGCACACTAATCTAACAGTATGAATTAGTGCAGCATTGCTTTCCTGAGCTTTTCCAACCCATAAATCATTTATCTGTCTCACCGCATGAGAATATTCAAAATAATATGAAATGAGCTTTCTGAAATTGTTTGCTGTCATTTAGCAGGAAAAAAAAGAAAAAGGTTAATTCTTTTCCTGTACTTACATGTCCGAAGGTTCCCAGGTCCTCTGAGCAGTGAGGGGACGTAGCAGGACAGTTTGACTGCGAAGCTTTGCCCTTGCACATTGTTTTGAAGAGTGATGACGTCTCTCCTTTTGTGGGAGGGGTAGCTCTTCACATGCCTTAAAAAAAAAAAAGAAAAAAAACACACGCTTATTTGTATGTCAGTCCTGATTTGCTGCCTGCTGTTTTATGGATGTGAAAGCGTCTATTTTCGTTTCTTTTGCGATTAGTCTGCTTAAAAGAGGGTAGTTCGAATCAGCAGCAGCGGCCTGCCCGCGGCTACGTGCGGCTGCCATTCGTGTAAAGGGAATTCACCCAGAAGCCGGCGTGGTTAACTGCTCACYGACTGAACATTCCCGAAAGACAAACTTGGGGCTTTTATTGCGTTTATCTAGAAAAACAGCGCAATTTGTAACCAGGAGTCGTCCGATCGGTGCAAACTTTCTACCTGATCCGATCTGACCCTGCCCARGATAACCCCCAAAGGGAGGCGGGCGGCTGCGCTGTGTCACACCAGGCCTCGCGGCGGCCCGTGTGCGTTCCCGGCGCCGCTTCAGCATTACGAGATGCCTTTGAAAGCACGTGGAGGGGCTGGGGAGTCTCACCCTGGTGAGAAGGTGTCCCTTTCAAAGCTGCGCAGTGCCTTTTGAGCAAGGAAGGCGTTAAAAACAACTAACAAAGGCATTAAAAAGGAACGAGCAGCTCTGAAAACACAAATCTGACTGCCCCCAAATTCTCTTTATAAGGACACCTTAAGAAATCACAGAATCCTTTAGGTTGGAAGGGACCTCTAGAGATSATCCAGTCCAACCCCCCTGCTCCAGCAGGGACACCCAGAGCACGGGGCACAGGGCGGCATCCAGGYGGGTTGGGAAGATCTCCAGAGAAGGAGACTCCACAGCCAAATACGGAAGAAATGGAGTGTCAGATTTTCAGGTTTYTCTTACTTGTCATAAACTTGTTTCTGGGTGAGGAACATGCATCTAGCAGTTCAACTGCTTCTTGTTAAGGAGGCTGTGAAGATTGTAACTAGATGGAAATTCCTGGCATTTGCTCTTAGAAACTGTAGCTGAGAGTTACCTGGGATTTCCCCTTGAACCTCATACAGATCATTCATTACGGCAAAAGCGAGTTTATCTTTAAGGTGGCCTCATTTGGTGGCCTGATTTTAGAAAGYGAGGAGGTAGACGTCGTGATGCTGTGAGCAGCTCCGGCCCGTGCCAAGGCAGGAACCTGGTAGGAGCCGGCGACGCCGYGTTCACCCTGTTAAGGTGTTGCTGACAGTGCAGTGTCAGAGGTGTGCAGAGGAGAAATCAGGACTGCAGAAAGTGCTTGGGAGATCCGCTGAACTCTCTGGATATTTTTTCCTTCTTGTTTTTATTCCCCCTTTTTTTCTCTTCATTAAAGAATTATATTAAGTTAAAGCCTTATATGTAGTAACGAGCTGTAAACCAGTGTTGGAAGGGAAAGCACACAGGATCTTGCTTCATATGTACACAAAATAATATTGCAATATACTTCCCTGTCTRGAAGGAAAAATAGGCTGTGGTAATTTTTGATCAAGGGCTGCCATTAATGCTAAAACTTCCTAATAAAGGAAATATTTCCCCAAAAAATTTACTGGTGTAAAAATAGCAGCAATACACGTTCCTTGCCCTGATCTGATAAAATATTGTCCTCTTTTGATTAAGATGGGTTATTAGATGGTACTCTTTGCMCCACCCTGATGCAGTAGCCCCTTAGGCAGCGTGGCGCGAGGTGGGAGTTGCTGGGGCTGAGTGATGCACKTTGTGTTCCCCGCCGCACCCTCCATCCTTCCAGCTGTTTGTTTCCTGTTCTTGTAACGCTGCCCTTCCTGCAGGATCTGGTTGTCTGCCCCAGCATTTGGGTATTTAAAGTGAGAAAAGGCACTTTTCAGAAAGTGTGGTCTGTTTTGCTGTTTTCCTGCAGAAGTTTATTGTTTTTCTTTATGAAAATGTAACATGTAGATGAATACACCCATGTGTTACTTTCAGGGGTGGTAGCAGTTTAATATTTTGGCCRCTGTGTTATGTTGCCACTGTTAATTTATTTTTCTGTCTCCTTACTGGTGTATTTGAGCAGTTTAAATCCAGCGGGTGCTGGATTTATCCTTACAGTCCTGTATGCAGCCAGCTAGCCCACAGAGTGGGAAATCATAGAATCACAGAATGCCGAAGGTTGGAAGGGACCTCAGAGGTCATCTGGTCCAACCCCCCTGCTCACACAGGGTCACCCAGAGCACGTGGCACAGGGCTGCATCCAAGCAGGTTTTAAAGATCTCCAAAGAAGGAGACTCCACAACCTCTCTGGGAAACTTCTGCTGTTACGTGGGATGCTTATGGACCAACCAACCTGAGTCCTAGTTCACTCCCTGAACTGCAGAACTATCCTGACTTCCCAAAAGGATCCGTTTTCCCTGAGAGATGGCTCACGTGTCCAAAAGTAACCTGTGGCTGAATCCTGTCTTTTTCTGTAGACAAATATTATTTATCAAGTGGCTTGAGTCTGCACGAGAGCAAGTGATTGCTCATCAGTGAGTCATGGTAACTGGGTCTGTTGCTTCATATGGGCCAAATAAAATGCTCTAGATTAAACTATGATAGAGATGTATTTAAGCACCCAAGCCAGATGAACTAAAGCGGGACTCAAGATTTCAGTGCAGTTGTTGGACTCTTCCTCCTCAGCGAAATACTCTGCTGATTTTATATTAAGGAGTGACCAGAGACCTCGATAAAACATTTTTCTTTCTCTTATTTGCAAAAAGTGTTTGTGTGGGGCATAAGTGTTTGTGTATATTTTGGCATGCTGGTACAACAGCAACGGTTCCTCAGCAGATAGGTGAACCGAGTGCCATGGACCACTTTTGTGAGACATGAAGAGTTGCCAACCCCTTAAGCCTTGCACAAGCAAGGCCGAGATCTGGAAGAACAGGAGAAGCCAAAGAGTGGAACTCACATATGTCAGCATCTAATTAGTGATGGATAAATTAAAACTAAAATCAAAAAAGATTGTCACCACCAAAAGATCAAGGTTTTGCATTAGCTTGCCAATCAGCAAGAAGAGAAAAGAACCTGAAGGTGATTTAAAACGGAACCAAGCAGTCTATGGAAAATATTGTCTTGGGAGAAAGTTTCAAAGCTTTTTTAAAGAGAGGTAGGTGCCAACTTACKTTTCTCCTCAAGAGGGGATTGAAAAGTATTCACTATTTGGTTAAAATGTGCTTGGTTTCACATTTTGATAACCCCAAAGTTGCAGTGATTTTACTGAGATATCTGAGGACTGGGAGAGACTGCCTTTTTCCCTCCTCAAGATACACACAACTTCTGTTTAGGGTTTCTCTTGGTTTTTGTTTGTTTCTTTGTTTTCTGTTTTGTTTTAGTGTTTTTCCCCTAAATTCTTGTGAAATATTGCTGGTAAGGTGCAAGAATACGGGGGAAAAAATGCCCAGGTTTTGAGAAGCGCCAGGAACTGGGGTGTCCTGCTCATGTCTAGCACACGGGTTGGATGCAGCACCACTAATAGTTCCTTKCAGTCCTGGCTTCCTTTAGTCAGAGGATCAGAGCTGCTCAGGAATTAGCTAATTTTAAGAGTGTTAGTTAGAATGTTTAACACATTTGAAACAAATTTAATTATAATTAAATAATATTTAATTTTAATTAAATTTAAATTTGAAACACATTTAAATGTAAAATGACACTGTCTGGACAGCCCATAGGGAAGTAGATCACTAACGTAACAGATGAGGTGCAATGTTTATGTGCTTTCTATTATTTGCAGCTGTACTACATAGTCATAAGAGGTTAATGATTCTATAAAAAACTTAACTGATGTCAATAATGTGACCGACAAAAAAAAAAAATACACTATTGCAGTAAATGTGGTGAGTCATTCTAAATAAACTAACGTAAAGGTTATTTCTGCAAATTTTAATCCCACAAAACTTCCAGTGACAACAGCAGATACTTTTTGCAGAAGTAACCTGAACTGTTTACCTATTTGTTCCTATGTCATAGAATCAGGSTGTTTCTTCCATATTCTATGCATATATTTGCTAGTGTTATATTTGATAATGTTTATTTCAACCTGCATTTAATATCTATTCACCTCTTTAAAATTTAGGTAGCTGTTTCTTCTTTGGGAAATGATTGCCCCTAGTTGTTTGGTTTATGTCAGCAGTTCATAGGTCTCTGGTTTAAGGGTTTGTTTCTTTCCTCTCCTCTAAGTTGTTTTTTTATATTGGTGATACTATCAGGAATAAAATGATTAATGTCAAGTGCCATGATTAGCTTCTACTAAAAAATTGAGATGATTTTGTGCAAAGAGGGATTCTCAGACACAAACGTCTGTGGACTCTAAATTGAGTTTATGCCACTTAGGAAGGTGTTTTCAGTCATGTGGATTAGAAACTAAGATTTTAAATCAAAACAAAGAATTCTAAAGCACAAAAGATTAAACGCTAGAATTTGAACAGTCTGTGTGGACACCACGTCCATTCCCAAGGCTTACTGAAACAGAAGGCTTTGGGGAATTGTAACGCTATTTTTAATTCCATAGGCAGAAAACATTTGAAGTGATTTTTCTAAGTTATTTTCCCCAGCATTGTAGTGAAAGTGTTGTGGGTGCCTCTCTGAAGTACTTGCACTGAAGCACAACGGCACTGGAACGAACAGGAGGGAGCCTGAATACCTCCATCCTTGGRTGAGATCCTGGGCGATGGGCTGTAGGTGATGCTGCTTAAGAAGAGGACTGAGGGGGTTGGACTCCAGAGATTCAATTCAACCAAGCAATTCATTAACTTAATGCAAAGAGTTAAAACAAGTCCTTTGATTTACAGTGGGTGAATGGTTGTTTGACCTGTGCAGCCAAATACAGGAACAGACATCTCTCCAGTGACTGCAAGCACCAAGACTTTAGTTATTCACAGAGTAATAGAGTCATCTGGGTTTGACGGTACCATGAGCAGTGATACACCCCRATCTCCCGTTCAAAGCAGGCCCAACTAGAGGAAGTTGCTCAGAGCTGTGTCCAGATGAGTTTTGAATATCTCGGAGGCTGGAGATTCTTGCTCTGTGGGCTCCTTGGCCCAGTGCTGGCCCGTCATTATCCTCTGCCGAGTTTGCTCTAATAGGTCAATGTCTTTCTTGTAACGAGGGGCCCCAGACTGGGAACAGAGCTCCTGGTGCAGCCTGAGAGGTGCTGAGCCGAAGGGAATATTGCTTCCCGTGACCTGGTGACTCCACACTTTGTTCAAATAGCMCAGTATGCAAATTGTCCTTCCTCACAAGGCTGAACTGCTTACTAATAATAATTTGAAGGTTTTCCCAGGTTCTTTTTTTTTGCAAATGTGCTTTCTAGCCCGTCTGTGCAGTTGCATGTGGTTATTCCAACCCAGGTGCAGAACTCCACATTTGCTCTTGTTGAGCTTCATAAGTTTCCCACCAGCCCATTTCTCTCGAGCGCATCAAGATACATCTGAATAGCAGCTCTGCTCTCCAGTGTGTTGACATGAAGGAGAATTGTCCCCAGAATGGGTCGCTGAGGTATGGAGGTAGTAACTGGCCACCATTTGGACTTTGTACTGCTTCTCAGAACCTTTTGAGTCCWGCAGTGCCACCAGTTCCCCACATGAGTTCCCATATTCAGTCCAAGGTCTTGCCAGAGTGAAAGCAGTCAGCAGCATCCGCTACTTTGCCCTCATCTGCAGTGCCAGTCATCTCATCACAGGAAGCAATCGCATTAGTCGGACATAATTTGCCCCTGGTAAATCAGTGTTGGCTTTTAGCCATCACTTTGTCCTTCACGTGGCCAGAAGTGGCTTCTAAGAGGATTTGCCCTGTAATCTTCCCAGGCACTGAGGTGTAGCTACTTGAACCTTCTTTCTTGAAGACGAGTGTGACATCTGTGTGTTTCCAGTCTTCAGAAATGTGCCCTGGTCCCCTGACTTTCAAGGAACAGCCTAACAGTGGTCATCTCCTCCAGCAGTATCCCATCTGGTCCCATCAACTTKGGTCTTTCCAAAGTATTTCCTGACTCTCTTCCTTTATAGTGGACACTGCTTCAGTGCCACAGGCTCTGCTGGGAGTCTCGGGGATCTGGGGGAGCAAAGTGCAAACCTTCTTAGTGAGGACAGAGGCTCAACCTCAAAGGCTGTTGAGCACCTCAGACTTTTCCATGTCCTCTAACACAAGGTCCTTCTTCCTTAGCCTTCCCTTTGGTGCCCACCTTCTTGTGTGTCACATTCTATTATTGTTTCACAGATAGTCTCTTTGGAAGACCCACTGYAGTTGAGCAGCATCAAGGTATTCTAAAACAAGGCATGATTGATGCATGGAAAATCTTGGACAGAATAGGAAAGATGGATTGTGAATTTAAAAATAGAGCTACATAATGAAATGGAAACTGTTTTCATGTAGTGGATTAACTTGTGGAGATGAGTTCCATGAAATATTTTAGACATTAAATTAGAAAAATCCGATGTGGATATTAGTGTAATACGTGATTATACTAGGATTTAACTCTTTCTAAGAAGCATAAACATGTGCCTTTGCAGGTGTAAGTCTATCTGGGTGTCTACTGAAACTACTAAAACTATGTGTCATACTAAAAACTATGGTTTTGGGAGGGAAAAAGTCATTTTTTTTTTATGTTTCCTTTAGCTTCTCTAAGTTTGTCAGGTTGTGAACAGTCTCAGATACAAGACTTAGGGTCACATGAATCACCATCTTGGTCTGGGATGGTGTTTTCTGTGTTTCGCTGCTGGCATAAGTGGTCAATATTAACATTTAAGGAACCTTTCAGCAGTTTATAATCTCTTTCTAAAACACAATTGTAGTCATGGGAAATTCCTTCCTGTAATTTCCCATCTTATGAGTGAGTGCACTCTTGCGTGTACAGTCTCCATCTTTGAGTCACTAGTTATCAGAGGAGAAAGAAAACCTGAAAAGCATGCTGCAGTTTTGGTCCTCTCTGAAGCYATTTGGTCAGAGTAGAAAGAATTAAATTCCATGAATTGAAAATATATAAAATAATTTTTTCTAAGAGAAGAAAAGATCTTTTGTTTTTGTTTGGGATTATTTGTTTCTTTTTCTCTTTCCTCACGTACAAAATTGAACTCCTTCATTAAATACAGTTTGACGGCAACAGAAGCAATTCCGATAAAGAATGATTTTTGTGGGTACTGCTTTTGGGTACTGCCTCTGAACTCCCACAACTCAAATGATTTGAATATATGCAGAGTTGCATGTGTGTGTGTGTATAGACAGATGGAGTCTGTAGATTTCTCCAGATGAAAGAGTTACTATTACTAGAGTTAGCATTCTCTGTGCATTCACATTCATTCGATAGTTTGYGGAAGATAAATCATAAAAATGATTCAATCTCATTTAATTAARCTTCATTTAAGTCCTCAGAGGCAGACGTTTTCAGCAAGCTGATCTTCAAATATAACAAATGAATGGTAATGAAATAGTCTTAAGCCACTGCCCATTAAATGAGTAAAAATAATATTTGAACTGTGAATTTGATGATCATTCTTTTTCCAGTTACGAGTTTCATGTTTGGCAGTTACTCAGGAAATGAAAGTCTAAATACTCAGCCCATCATTTCCCATGGTGTTACTGCCATCAGTCGAACCTGCTCAAGGAAGGCCCTGTGTTTGAGTGAGCCCTCCAACGTGGGTAGCTCCTGGTTCCTGCCATTTGTACAGTTCTCACTGAGCGTAACAAGGTCCTGTGAGTGTGAAGGCCTGTAAAAACCGTAGGCCTTAGTTAGTAAGGACAGTAAAACTATCCTTTAGGGCATCCAGCCTGTCTGAGCCACAAGACAGCCCAGCTTAAGGGCGGGTAGATGTACATTTTGTGGGTAGCCTCCCCCTGGTGATGAGCTGTGCCTTGTTGCTTGGATATTGTCACCATCGTAGCTCCGGAGGAGGACCTGACGTCTTGGCTCCATTTTCTGCTCCAGCAGTATTGGCCAGGTTATGCTGCAAACTGCTTAAATGCAGGGGAAGATTCAGCCAGCACTTTTTTGTTGTTTTGTTTCCCATTAGTGACTTAGTTGCACAAAATGGTTGATTGGTAAAACTATGGAAACAATATTTTGGGCTGACGAGAGGCGCTGAAGTTCAGCAAAGAGCTAAGCTTGGGCTGAGTTGGAGAAAGGAGCTCTCTATCCAGCCTGAAGCAGCTGGTAGTATATCTTGCTTATGGATGTATTGGAGATGCTTATAGACRTATTGAAACCTGAATTAAAATCTAATCCCCTTATGGGAAGTAACAATTTTTTTTTTTTGTTAATCTTCATCCCTGTTCTTGAAAGTATTTTTCTCCTAGGATCTCCTATAGCTGTGTCTTTGKTGCTGATTCTGCAGTGGTAGTTTCCTGGAAACTGAAAGATTTTATGGTAAAGAACATGGGCCTTATATTTAGGGATATGTGTGCAGTGCTGCTCATTTCAGTCTGGCTGCTGTGGTCATTGCATAAGGTGCTTGAGGCTTAAATTCGGTAGAACTGGCCCTGAAGAGCATGTGGAAACTCAGCATCTTCAGCAGCTTGTGCTGTGATTGAGGTGAGAATCCTCAAGAACATTTGTTACTCTTAGGTCTGTGCAAGGGCCCACAAAGGGACCTCGTGTCAAACTGTCGGGGTTCCAGCCTCCTGGTGAGTTGTGCTGAGCAGTGTGTCATCAAGCCTGCAATGCCGTAGGCTGGGCTGAATGGAAGAGCCTAACTTTACAGGGTGCTCAGAGGTCCCCATCATCTTTTGGAGTAAGTGTAATCCTCTTCATTTGCCTCTTTGGGTTCAAGAGGTTTGGGTCGGTTGCAGGTGACTATTGATTTTTTCTTTTTTTGGATGCAGTGTTTTATAGAAACCATCTGCTATTACAATAAAAATGTTTTCTGCGCCGCCTCCATCATGAACATAGGGGAAATAAGATACTTTGGTAACCTGTTTCTTGTTTGCAAGGATAATTGTCAAGTAATCATACTTATTTTGCTGTGGGATCTATTATATTGAACGTAATAACATTTCTAGTTTTCAGTTCCTAGGGAAGACCTTTGTTTACAGGGCTCTACTGCACTTTGTACATAGAATTAATTATTTTACATTGTTTTACATTCTTATTGCTAATATTCCTATTAACCACCTCTATCTTTCTTTTTGCAGTTTGGGTCCTGTGTTTGCTTTGTTTGTACCGTTTTACTGCTCCATTCCAAGAGTGCAGGTGACACAAGTATTAGGCTACTTTTCTATCACAAACAAGACACTGGTCTATATCCTGGGTTTACAGGTATGGTATGTACTTGCTTGTTCATCTTTTATTGTTTTTAACCTACCAATTAATATCCCTGTGTGTACTTATATCAGTTTGGACCCATGTGAGTGGTGCATATGTTCAGCTAGTGTCTGTCCTGACAACTAAAATATTGAAAAACTTGTACTTCTGCTATTAGCATTTCTGCATGCTGAAGGAGTAGACAAAGTATCTGTTGTTCCATTGTCTTGCATGGCAAAATACAATGTGCAAATTCTGTAATTCCTTTTCTCTTGGGTCAATGAAAGGAACCAGGTGGGAACCTGCTGCTGAGACATGTACCTCTTTCACCTTTGTAATTTACACTGTTTACTTGTTTTTTTTGTACTTCCCCTTACCTGATAGATTTCAAATTAAGCCAATAGAATACAGTAGTTTTCTGTGGTAAGAGTGTCTGTAAAAAACAAAATTATCAAAAATTTGGCTGGATTGCACTTCTGTGTAAATTATTTTTTTTTAATGCAAAGCAGTTCCTTGTGACAGGTAACTGAAAATAGCTTTACATAGAGCACGGCAATATAAAGGAGTGTTACCTTAAAAAATAAATGGAAAAACACAAATGCCTGATAGAGACGCGCAGCAGTTGTTTAAGAAAGCAAAAATACCCACAACAGCCTAGAAATGAGTGGACAGCCATGTCACAAGGTGAATTATGGAACAGCAGACTTGCCACCTTATGAGAAGTTGTACTCATTTTTATACGTTCCAGGCACTCAGAAATAGCTCCCAAACTAACGGAAAGCACCAGAAGTACCTGAGGGGGTAGCAGAGGGTATTTGAGAAAGAACAGTCACTTTCAGAACATTGATTCATGCTCCACTTGAACATCTCATTCATCCATTTGCTGTGGAGCGCTGGGATTGCTTTGATTTCTGCTCCAGCACCAGCCTCTTTTAGAGTTTGCCAAGTTGTTTCCTCCCCGCTGAAGCCGTCGCCACCACTMTTGCTTCAGTGTTCTCTGTGAAAATAGTGGCATCGTCTGAGCTTTGTTCCACTGTATCCCTGCCTTTTGCTTTCGTACATCTAACAGAGATCACTAAGTGGAGGTCACTGCTGTTACTAATTCCTCTGTCTTCACTGGACTTTGCTTTWTACAGAACAGTTGCTGCTGTCGCAGAGGGAAGCACATCCACCTTCTCATTTATAAGCTCTGTCCTTATCTCAAGCCACTCTTTCCATAGTGACAAGCCTAGAGGAGATATTCTCATGGCTCAGTCTGCATCTTACAGAACTACTTTTGTAAACAGCTTTTAGTCTMATTTTCAGCCTATTTTTCCAATTGATAATAACCTTCTCCAGGTGATTAATCCCCTTTACTTTTTGGAAAGTGAGGGGCCCCTCTGCTGATTAAGTAGACTTTTAGAAAATGTGCTCAACCTATTTCTGTGATTTTGTATCTGTAAACATTCCACGGGATGAGAGCTTCATGTCTTTAATTCTGACATTCATTTTTGGTCTCTCTGTGGCTGCTTCACTTGCACTGCCTTCCCCTGCTTGGAACTCTTCTCCTGCTGCTGAGTCATTTCCTTTGCTTCAGTCTATCTTTTAAGCTTGTTTTTCAGTGCAGCCTATAACTGACATCCTGTTATACATAGTATCTTATATGAAAATAAAATGTATTGTTCTGTAGGAAGAGAACAACTGTTGGATCCCTGTGTTTTTTCCACCTCTGCCACATCTGGGATATCTCTTTGTTGATGCTAAACTGAATTTTTGCCGAAATAAATGTTTGACTTTTCCCACTGTCGTGATAAGTACAAACCCTGTATAGTACTGCAGTATAGTAAATCAGATAGCAATCGCTATGTGAACTTAAAATTTAAATCATTACTCTTATCTTCTAGCTCTTAACCTCTGGTTCCTACATCTGGATTTTAGCCTTAAGTGGATTGGTAAGTCTRCTGCTTTAAAAACCATGTGATGCTTAAACACTCTTCTATATATAGAGTACAGCATATTTGAATTCAAAAAAAAGAACTCGGACTACCGAGTTGTGTTTGTTGTTATGAGAGTACATAGAAGATGTTTGTCTCTTAATTCTCGGAAGTGTCAAGTGCTGCCTGGTGCTAAACTGGCAGATAGTGAAAGAGCTGGCTGATATTTGTAGGTTGCCAATGCTTTCTGACCCCATAAAAATATTTTGCAGCTTTGGACTCTCAACTTAAGTGAAAACAGTGAGGAACTGGTAGAAATATGAATTTCAATAGCATGTGCTTTTGTATCCTTTATTTGCCTATTGTTTTCTTTTTATCAGTTTTGAGCAAGCCTCACGCTTCTCTTCCAGAACGCAGCTCGTAGCTGGGCTGTGGGGATGTCGCGCTGGCAGCTCCCACCCGGTGCTTGTGGCGCAGCCCCGCAGCAGGAGGAGTGTGAAATCCCTTTGCTCACCTCTTTCAGATCAGAGTGGGGTGGCCTGGCTTTTTTTCCTTTTCATGGTAAAAGCACTGTGGTCCTAGCACTGAAGCATTCAGAGTGCTGGTTGTACTGAGTCTTCTACTTTATTAGATACTGACGAGCTGCTTGTGATGTTTTTGTGAGTTTACAAGATAGGAGCTCTAGCTGTGATTTCCTGCACCAGATTTCTCTGTTTTTGAGACACTGGAAAGTGCTACTGCTCCCAAAGCAGCTCCCTGCTGATTTATGCAGTCTTTTGAAAAACCTTAAGTTGTGTCTTTGCTACTAGAACCCTTGAGTTCTAATGTAGACCGAGTGAAATGACTATTGGCACTCTGCACATTGTTGCCATAACTCAGTAGTTCAGTGTCTTAGCAGTTCCAGTGACTGCTGCAAAGCACTGTGTGAGTATTGCCAGAGCAGCCAGCAGAAATGACAGAGCAACAAATGGTGAAGTCTGGCCATACCACAAGTGTAGATGAAAGCAATGAAACCAACAGCCTGGACTTTCTCTGTGCTGGAGATGAGCCCAAGCCACTGAGCCTGACGAAGGATCTGTGGCTTCCTCCATACACTCTGCCCTTCCTGTTGCTYTCCTGGCTCTTTTAATAGCCCTTCCTTTAGAGCAGGTGTTCACTGGGAAGGAAAGGGAAGGCCTTTAACCCCTTCTTGCTGGGGGCAAGAGCCACGCACCGCTTGCTTGTGCAGATTATCCTGTTCTTATTTTAATTCTCTTATTAATGTACACTTTTCTTCAGAGGCATAATACAGCTTGGTTAGGAGTCCTTTTCACGTAACATCTTTTGAATTGCAGGTTTACAGTATGTTTTTAATAGATACAAGTCCACAGAAATAAGCTGAGCTTTCTCTGAGTTACAGTAAGCCTTAGAAAAGATCATTTAAAGTTTTCATACTGCTGCAGTCACCGTTTTTAAGATAGCATGATTTAAGTCATCATCAGAAACAGTTATTTTTTCAATAACAAATTTTTCTGCAGCAAGCAGAGATCTACGCTCTTCCGTTCTTGCACTAAGGTTACAGTTGGGAAAAAAGTTTAGGACATTTTTCACCCACTGTTTCTACCAGATATCTAGGTCTTTCTTTATATAAGTGTATATGTGTATAGTATATGTATGTATCTCATAATCTGGAGTCTCTTGAGAAAGCAGATAAGGGAATAAGGTTTTAGAGAGTTTTAAAGGATCTGAAGAGAAATATGACCTACGCCCTTCAAGCACTGGAAGCCTAGATACTTTTATTGCATTTGTATGTGTACAGTTACAGAAATACACRGGGTATGAAATGCATGTTGAATCATTTTGACATGTGATATATTTTCGGAACTGATATTACTGTTACCTGTGTGGCCTGCTCTATCTGTGGTCAATCAAATTTGCRTGTATGTGCACAGACCAAGTAAATACATGAATACTGAGTTAGCTAGGTGTGGGATTTGGTTCACTGCCTACTGATGAACAGTCCGTTCATTCACTTCAGGATATTCCTAGTTTAGGCTTATTTAAATTCTCACAGTTGATATTTTAACATGTGGTGAAATCTCTTAGACTAAATGAGAGCTGGCTTTTCAGGTAGAAGATGTGACRTCGGGGAGAGATTTTTGTTCTGTTCATCCTTGTTAATGCTCTTAAATTTGTGTGTAAATTCCAGTCAGGTGTAAAACACATTTACGGTTGGACTCAATGATCTTGAAGGTCTTTTCCAGCCATAATGTTTCTGTGATTCTGTGACTTGAACCTCCTCAAGTTCATGTTTTCCGTGGGTTGGAGAATAAAAGAAGTTCTGGTGTTCAGTCTTCACCTTTGCTTCACTTACCTGCCTGGGTCAACTGACTTTGAATGAACATAGGAGGACGCTCTTAAAGGCAGCTTCCTTGCTGTCCTGCATGAAACCAGTGTACCTCTCASTTCACACTGATCTGGTATGACAGGATGGGCCTCGTAACTGCAATTCCTAATATGTTGTGTTAAGCTTGCAGTGTTAAAGTTCATTTACCAAAAAAAAAAAGAAAAGAAAAGAGAAGAAAAAAGGAAGAATATAAGAAGAATAAAACAAACCACTTTATAGATTTAAAGTCCAGATTTGCTTGATATGATAGTTTTTTTTTTCTTATTAGTGTCATAAGAATAGGATGTTTTTGATTAAAGATACAGATTTATCATACATAAATGCAGATATAGGCTATTTSCATTTGCCTTTAAGCCAAAAATTATTTGAATAATTGTTTGCAGAAGGACAGAGTTGACCATAGTGCATATTGCTCAGGTCAATGAATCCCAGAAGCAATTTCCTTACAGATTTTCTTGAAAACACTCAAAACACTTTAGAAGGATGTGTCTGCTCATATGTTTCTTTAGACATATACACATCAGTCCATGATCTCTCAATTTTTCCTCCCTTAACAGAAATGCCAGCTTAACAGAAATGTGAGCTTATGTTTCGCGCTGTTCGTCCGCTCCTGCAGGTTTTATATTTGAGGGGGCAGGTGAAGGCTCATTCCACCACAGGTACAACACAGCCCGTGCAAGAAGTGCACTCGGGTCCGTGCCAGCAGGCGCAGTCCATGCCCTGCCATGCACACTTCCCGCTGCTCTTTCACGGCGTGTTAGCCCCACACGAGCCAAGGTTTCCGTTACCCGGGGTGTTAGGGCTCTGTCTCGTAAGGGGAAATTCTTCTGTTTCAGGCACGCTAGTGTTGAAGATTCTTGCATTTTAGCTAGCAGTTTGCTTGTTGGCTAGTTTGTAAGGAGACTTGTATTGCAAAAAGTTCAAAATTCGGAAAAACGGGGACCTCTATGAGCTGTTGTCGGTCTGTGTGGAGTTCCCCTCAAACCTTAGGGAGTGTAAATTGCTTTAACCTTACGAATGCTCTTGTTTCCAAAGCCCTGTTTGCTCTGTATGTGTCCGTAAGCCAAGTAGAACAGCTTTCCAAAGCGTGCCTGTGCCACCTGATAGCTTACTTGCCTCAGGTTGTGTGAAAAGTTAGATATTTATACTTCAGGTGCTGGAAAACTGTACACAGTTGGTATATTAGAACATAAACCTAGAAGCTTTAGCTTCAAATAGAAAGTTTGGGTAATACCGAGTGTTTAGTTTTAATCAGTTCTGATTTTTGAGTGCTTTAGATATTATTCTTTATTTTCAATCTGCTGGCTTGGTTTTATATGGACTTAGGCATGCCAGTTGTGAAATACTCCATGTACTTGGGGTTTGGGTTTTCAGTTCTGTTTCCTAAGAACTTTATTCTTTCTCTCTGTTCATTATTCATTCAGTTGAAGTGTCTTTCTCTGGAGCTATTCCTGTGTGTGATACATTGTCCCTCTTGAGCAAGATGGGACCAGTCTACAGAGCAGAATATTTAAATAGCAGATTCTTTTTCTTTTTTAACTCCTTGATTTAATAGTAAAATTACATACTTAATAACTGGCCAGACTCAGAGATAATTGGTTTTATTTATTATTATTCTTTCTCTTTTTGCACATTTTCTTACGTAATTTTGAACAATCTGTATTGAATTTTTTTTTGTGTTCTTATTATTCTGCAATGTAATATTCACACATAGAATTTAGTCTCTTCCACGTGCTTAAAATTGCCATAAAATCCTTGCCRTTTTTCTTGAACAGAATCTTCGGCCCGAGTCTGATAACATAGTGTACAGTTACCTCCATGTTCATATCCTGCCACATGGCCTTTTTTGTCCTCCAAATATTTCACATTTATTCTCACATAGAGCTTTGGTCAACGTCCAAGTACATCAGTGTGTCAGAGTATGGTCTTCCTTGGCTTCTGTTTAAATGTGTAATTATAAATAGTGGTTCAGATAATTTGTATCTAGTTCAGTTATCTTGTGGGCTTTTTTGATGACATAAAGAGGATCAGTCTAATATGAGTAAGCCTGGATAATCATTAAAAAAAAAAAAGACTATATGTTATCTGCTTTGAGGGGGAGTCATCTACAGCCAAGCAATATTTGAACTGGCATTCAGGGTAAATAAAAGCTAATGGGTTACAATGAACAACATTTTTTAATTTACTCTTTTAAAATTTCAGTTGTGAAGAGCTATGCTGAAGGCAAAACTTACCAAGGATTGAATTTAAATAATAGTAATTAGATGGTACAATCATGTTTTGAATATTACTGTGGAAAATCAAATCTAGTGCCTTTGAAATAATGTTTGTAGCACTCCGAAAAGACTTCCAGTGCTATTTATTCATTCTGAGGTTTTCATCCAAATGCCTGCTAACAGACTTCACAGGATATTTTTGACTTTAAAAAGGGGGAAAAAAGAGAGACTTGTCCTTAGCAGTATCTCTTAAACCAGAAATAATCTTGTAAGTATATTTTAGTCTACCAATTAGCCAAAAAAAAAAAAAAAAAAAAGTAGAAATTTGGTTGATACATAGTTGTAAAACAGCATATCTTAATCATTAAAAAAACAGCATCATTTAATCATTTAAAACATTTTAATCAGTATCAAGA